GGTCTACAAGGAGACCAATATGTCTTCCGGAAAACGTCACCATAGTTGTATCGGAACGAATGTATGTGGAACGAACGTTATTCATACATTCATTCCGATACAACTATGGTGACGTTTTCTGGAAGACATATTGGTCTCCTTGTAGACCATTTAAAATTCTCGATCGTGTCGTTTGCTTCAATAACAGATCGATCATAGAACCTGAGGATGCACGAACTGTGGACCTTCCAACATCGACCACAACTGGTATTCCCGATCAGATAGATAATGTTCCGAGACTTTTAGACGAGGTAATCTTAAAACAAAATAATAGAAAACAGCAGGAGCTAGCAAAAATTTCTCAATGGAATGAAGGTTTAACTCAAACCGTCACTGCACAAGCATACATCGGTCTATTTTACGCGTGGCCAAATCACAAAGCAAACTGTGAACGTGTGTATCCTACATGGAAACTGCGCAAAATAGCCAAAGTGTGATTTTAACGGACTGGCAAAATGAACTACGATTTTATCTTTACAAGTATCGGGGTTCCCGCGTGCAAGACCACATATTCGACTATGTAGTACTAACACGTTTAGGGCATGCCGGATCATCGGAGCTGATTCTATTCGAAATATTAAGAAGATGTTGAAAGAAAAGCATAATACAGCTCATGAAAATATAAGAAAAACACGTTAATGTAAACGAGATAGTTTTTGTTACAGTCCTACTTTCCAAGAGCATTGTTTTCAATTAAAGAGCTGAAATTTTCCGCTGAGAAATCGTGCTGTCTGTTTATTTTACATCTCAGTATTTGCCTCTTGATATTTATTCACTCAGTTTTCTTTTACATACTACAACCTATTCAACTGAAGGCAACATGTGATTGGATGCCTCCCGATTAATAAAGAAAAGTTTAGATTAATCCGTGGAAAGCTAGTGTTGTTCCCATGAGGACATTTTCGATACATTTATTGCGATAAGTGCTTGTTTTATCAAGGCTGTGATGGAGTTTTAGCAGTAACAATGAATATTACTTTATTTCGAGAAAGTAGCTCATTACCACGATAAAGATTGCTTATCGATAAATCGCGATAATAACATTATGGCAATAAAAAAGGTTACTTTGTCCGATAAATTATTTATCGCCGTAACGGCAAAAACTCCGTGATGGCCTCGATAAAATAAGCACTTATCGCGATAAATGTACCGAAAATGTGCTCACTCTGTAGAGTTAGCTTCTCGCTTCCTTGGATATATAAAAGATGAACGTTTGATGAAACATAAAACATCATAAAATTTGTTCTTTTCTTAATTTCGTCAAGTAATGACAAAGAAAATACTTTCTTTTTTTTTATTCTTGAGTTAACGAGATTTAACACTACATTTTAATTCTAATTTAATTCTATCAACAAATACAAAAGAATCTTTCAAATGTGAATCAGCCTCTGACTTCGCTGATTATACCAGATCTAAATTTGGATTTCTTAGACACTAACGCGCCATCAAGTCGAAGCCTTAGATGAATAAGACAAGAAACGCTCGAAGCTGATCCACCATTGATTGAATAAAGATTTAATGCGCGTCATAAATTTGAGTAAAATGATACAGTAACATAAGGATTGTTCGATAGTGTATAAAATCGAATAAAATAAGGATTATTCACAAGATCTGACCGTTGACCAACTGATATGTTTAACTGTGAACTACAATCAGTACAGTAGCCTATGACTGAAACCGATGTGCACCCATCGAATGTCGGACGATTTGCTCACAATTCAGTGTACCACCAGATCTGACGTATTCGTCCAGCCCAGTTGTGTCTGACTGATTATAGAAGGATTATTACAATAAATTAGCGATATCAGTACACGTACGCTTGAGTAAAAAGAATTGACACACAGTTCCATTTTTCTACTTTATAAGCTATTGTACGAATCAACTAAATTCAAAGGTTTTCGTACAAACACGGATGAATTATACAAATTTAATTCTGAGAAAGGAAACGTCCAGTCCAAACTGAATCGAATGGACTTTTCATAATTAAATTTTTTGTATAATTGCCGTGTTTGTACGGAAACTCTTGAATTTAGTTTATTCGTTTGTTTCTTGCAACAAACGGATCACTGAGATTATCCTTGATGGATAGTCTAGACCGAGGCTCTATTGACTCCAGCATACCAACATCTTTTGCAGCATTGGTTCCAATACATTGCCTAATTGCCTCTCTCGCTCGTGCTGGGAACTCTGATACAGGCATACAATTACTCCAGAGCATATTGTCTTCTATAGCCATAATGGCATTAAATTTCTCTCCCTCAGTAAACGCATCTTCTTGAGCCCCTTGCTCAATATTATTGACTGCTCGCTCTATTTCTTTATCAAACTCTTCCTCATTTAAAACTGGCTCAAGAAAGATATCGAATCAATGTCACTTGCTTCTTCGCCTACAGGATCATCTTTCTCAGATTGGCTACCGCACTGTATCACCAGTTCAGAGAAAACACGGCGCATCAGATCATCTACTTGAGCTGTCATTTTCCATCACACACGGACTTATCTCTCATTCTTGAAACGAAACTCTCATCTAATGCATTTTTTTGTCCTGACGATCTCAATACTCTATTATTCTAGTCGGAGAACAGAGAAAAATTACCGTTATCGTTCGAGAGAAAAAAACTGAAATGAATCAAATTTTTACTCAAAACCTTTAACTCATAAAAAGACCATAACGATAACAATAGAACAAGAAAAAAAAAATCAAGGAAATTTATTCAGTGGAAAAAGTTGTTTTTTTTGGTAGTAGCAGCTTTCGTTGTCAATTTACGATCGCATGAGACAAACTGAAGAGAAAGATGTAACAATAGGCGTGTAACATGAGAAAGTTTTCAATTTTTACAGTATGAAGGGCCGATTGAGTTTTATTAAATCTCAGTACTTAAGGGTTTTGAGCGATGCTCTTTCCGATCGCGAACTCTTAAAAGTGTCGGAAGTTTCCAGAAAATCGCGGTTTTTTACATACCCATTTACAGAAAATACTTTTTTTTAAAGAAACACTTGTCTGTAAAAAGATTTCAAATTAGCGATTTTATTCAGAATTGAGGGGGGCTACATTTTAAAACAAAGTCGAACTCTCCAGCATAATCTGAAAGTTTAATTTAAATTTTAAAATTTGAAATTTGAATTCTTTTAAAACTGTATTTCCCAAGTTCACAAGCTTGTTGGAACATTCTCAACAACATGGTTGGATACGATGATAATTACGATGATATATACTTTATTTCGATATATCGCGCTGCGAAACGCGTTAATCGGTAACGCGTCTGAATGTCCCGAATGTCAGAAAACATTCTGGTAAACGCATTAGTTTCTATGAAACGTTGAACGCACTCTATCGCTGTAATACTCTATGCTCGTAAAAGCAACCATCTCCGAATCAAATAGTCCGTGGGCAGCATCTGTCGTTCTTGCACCCAAGAAAGACAGCTCTTTCCGTTTTTTGTTGATTATCAAGTGATTAATGCAGCCACTATACTCATACAAAATCATTTGAAAGTTATACATACAACTGTGACATGGGCACATCAAACATCAAGAACGATCTTTTCTGACCCGAACAACTTCCTCAAAACTTTTGGGATTTTCCAGAAATTGTACACAGTTTCGTAATCACGAGGGTACACAGCAGATCAAACATACTATATTCTACAATTTTCAGGTGATTTTGTTCGATTTCGAATTTTGACTTTCGGTATAATGTGCAATTAGCTCAAATCATTGATACTTGTCCTGAGGCTTCCTGAAAATCGAACGTAAAATGGAAATCAAGCTCTCGCTTGACTCTCATTTTCAGTCCAAAGCTTTCGGCTACCTGCCTCTGTAAAAAGTCGATATATTATCGTTTCAATCCTTTCAAGACCAATACTGCTTTTCATAGATTCTCTAGCTCAGTTTCGTGAAAACCATTTATCAACCCTTTCGACACACAGTTTGAAAGTGCTTCGAACGCCGATTTTAAATCATCTCTTCTTCTTCTTTCAAAAAATCATTCGTCTGTTAGCGATGGATGTTGCACCTTCATTCGATATATTATTATTCAAAATATCCAGCCGCGACAGTGTTGTATTGATCTTCAATGCATCAGCGATGGATGTTGCACCTTCATTCGATATATTATTATTCGAAATATCCAGCCACTCCAGTGTTTTATTGATCTTCAATGCATCAGCGATGGATGTTGCACCTTCATTCGATATATTATTATTCAAAATATACAGCCACTTCAGTGTTTTATTGATCTTCAATGCATCAGCGATGGATGTTGCACCTTCATTCGATATATTATTATTCAAAATATACAGCCACTTCAGTGTTGTATTGATCTTCAATGCATCAGCGATGGATGTTGCACCTTCATTCGATATATTATTATTCGAAATATCCAGCCACTCCAGTGTTTTATTGATCTTCAATGCATCAGCGATGGATGTTGCACCTTCATTCGATATATTATTATTCAAAATATACAGCCACTTCAGTGTTTTATTGATCTTCAATGCATCAGCGATGGATGTTGCACCTTCATTCGATATATTATTATTCAAAATATACAGCC